TCTTTAGCTGTTCTTTTTCATGAAAGTATTTCACTTCTCCATCAAACTTGAAAGAGAGTTTTGCAGGGTATAGTAGTCTGGGCTGGAATTTGTTTTCATACAGGACTACAGTACTCTGTTCCATGCTCTTTTTGCCTTCATGGTTTGTGAAGAGAAGTTGGCCGTAATTCTGATGGGTTTCCCTTTGAATGTGATCTGCTTCTTTTCTCTAGAGGCTTTCAGTAGATTATTCTTGTGCTGAATTTCTGGTATCTTGACTATTATATGTCTCAGTGTGTTTTTCATTGTGTTGAGGTTATTTGGCATTCTGTATGCTTTGGTTACCTGAATATCAGGTTGTTTACTCATATTTGGGAAGTTTTCTGCTATCACTTCTGCCTATATTTTTGTAATGTCATTTGTATTGACTCCTTCTTTCTCATTGATGCCTATTAGTCTCACACTGTTCATCTTTGTATCATCTTGCAGGTGATGGATTATTCTTTCCTGCATCCTCATTGTTTTTAAGAGATTCTTTCTTACCTTTACACTAGGTGCACCAGCATCTTCAAGATCTGAAACTCTGTCTTCACTTTCACTTAAACGGTTTTGCAAGCTTTTGATTGAGATTTCCTCTATATCTCTTTCTCTTTTATATTTTGTTTCTTCTTGTCGTTTTGTGTAGCAGTGTCTTCTGACCTTTGTTGTAAATCTTCCTTGTAGTTATAACCTTAGCAGGTACTGAAGTTCAGGTGCATATCTACAAAGTTTGGATTTATCCAGGTGTTTCTGGCTTGGGTCTGGTTGCTGTGCTCAGCTCCTTCCTGCTGCTGTCCTTGAGGGTGAACCTGTTGTGCCCCTCTGACAAGATTTTCTGCCCCTAGACTTGCTGGTTGATTCTATCCTCTACACTCTGCAGGGATTGCACCTGCAGGGTTTCACCCCAGGCCTGTATGCCAGTCCTGAGCTGAGTCTGGAGGGGACAAGTTGGAATAGAGGGGAGAGGCAGCTCTCCCACCCACTCACCAGACCTGGGCTAGGACTGGGTCTGGGGGTTTCTGGAAGGTGCAGAAATTCCTACTCGGGGTCGGAGTAGGGGAGGTGCTCGGAGTGGTTGGGGGCATCCCATGGGGGTCAAAGATGGTCTCAACCCCGCTGCACCTGGGCTGCAACCAGTAATAGGTCCCGCTGGTGCAGGGTGGCAGGAAGCTCTCCCACACTGTCACCGGACCTGGGCTAGGACTTAAAGACTCCTTAGAGGGCTAAGAGTGAAGAAAAAGGACAAGAAACACCCATCCAGGGTGTCTCATCGCCCATTTGACAGTCTCTCAACATATATTTACAAGATGCCTATGTTAAAGAAAGCACTGTGAGAGGCTCCTGGTGGAGACGACAGACACGGGCCCTTAAATATGAGTGGAAAATAAGAAACACAAAAAAGAAGGACCACAGATAAAATAATTACCAGTTCTGATAAATACTGAGGGAACAGCACATAGGATGTGCATTGGAAAATAATGGGGTGGAATTTTCTTGATTGTAAGATGAGAGAAAGGCTTTCTAAAATCACATTGACTTTAAAAACAGGGTCTTTCCTATTTGTATGCTTATTTTCCTCCTAATTTGCACAGATATGAGTAGCCCTCAGAGGAAGCTTTCTTGCTACCTGCAAATTTCTATTATTTCCCATTCCTGACCTTCATGCCAACTTATGTAAATACAAAGAAGGCTTTTGCAGCTACAACTCTTGCTGCATATGTCCTGCTTTACCTTGGTCTTAATCATCCAGCAGAAAAGTATAAAACAATGTTTAAGAAGTAAAACCATGCTGTTATGTTGAGCTGTAGGGGACTCAGGGCAACAATTTCTGACATTGCCAGTGAAGTGGAAGACTCAATACAATTATGGACTCCTGGACTCTTTTAGAATATTTTGCTGAGTTTACATACCTATAATATTCAAATAACGGAACTTAACAAAAAAAGGGGATACAGATGAATGCCCATTTTGCATCTGTGTGTTCAAAATGGTTAGGATAGATATACAGTTGCAATCATATTATGTAGGGACTTAAAGTTCAACATATCAATACTTGATGAAAAATACCTGTTCCTTATTATGCCTAAGATGTTTGAAATGCAGTGAGATAGTGAGGTTAAGATTGATAGCCCAAATCGTTTGATAATAACAATAAGCTTTTCTTCTGGATGGTTAACAACCTAAGTTTGCAGACCAAATTAGAGAAAAATGAAGGATACAAGGAAAGCCAACATTTTGGCCCTAACCTTCTAAGGTCAATTAAGACTCAGGACATATGAGAACTTGTACTGTAACGTCATGTACCTCGGTAGTGTCCCAAATTTTCTGATCAAGAAGATTATGGGGCCAAAGAGGAAAGTGATCGATGACGTAGAGTGTGCCTAAGGAGAGTCACATGGGGAGAAGACACTCTCTCAGGCTTTCACAGAGAGCACATTGGCCAAGCAATGGCCGTGACTCATCCACATGGCTGCACTGATGAAGGTTCTACAATCTGAGGTACAGGATCTCAGGACAAATCCTGAGGGCATTTCACTGACCTTCTCAGACCAAAAAGCTACAACTCTTGTTGCATAGGTCCTGCTTTACCTTGGTCTTAACCATCCAGTAGAAAAGTATGAAGTCGAAATATAAGAAATAAAGCCATGCTGTTGGGTTGAGCTGTGGGGGACTCAGGTCAATAATTTCTGACATTGCCAGTTAAATATAAGACCCAATGCAATTATGGGCTACTGGACTCTTTTAGAATATTTTGCTGAGTTTACACACCTATAATATTCAATAACGGAACTTAGAAAAAATGGGGTATACCGATGAATGTCCATTTTGTATCTGTGTATTCAAAGAGGTTGGGATAGATATATAGTTGCATTCTCTTAATGAATAGAATGATTTGTTCTAATGGTGTTTGTAAATGGGATCACAAGTCCGCATCTTGTACAGCAATTAACCACTAAGAAGAATATATGCAGTGTATTATTTGTTGAAACTGTCCTTCCGATATGATTTGAAACTGTCTCATTGCTATCTGTTTGTCAATAAAACTTTGAAAAAAATAAAATAAAAAAAAATTAAAAAAAAGATATACAGTTGCATTCTCTTTATGAATAGAGGGATTTGTTCTAATAGTGTTTATAAATAGGATATCATGTCCGCATCTTATACAGCAATTAACCACTAGGAAGAATGAATGTATGCAATGTGTTAATTATTGAAACTGTCCTACCAATTTGGTTTGAAAAAAAAGATATGTCTGCATCTTTTCCTCTGAATAACTACTATGAAGATAACAATATGCAATGTATTAATTATTGTAACTGTCCTACTAACCTGTTTTGAAACTGTTTCATTGCTATTTTTTCCCATTAAAATGAATAAAAATTAAGAAAAAAAAGAAAAACATTACTAATTATGGCAAAATACAGACAGACACATATTCTACTGAGCTATCTCCCCAGCTCTGTCTTCATTCTTGAGAGCAGAATCAAAGAATAATTCTATTACAATGTAAGAAAGCATACAAGATATTGATGCAGAACCTACAATTTACACAAATAATGTAATAAGCTAGTGCCATTGTGAGGACCTCAAATCATTCAAAATGAGCAGCTTAAATCCTTTCAATATCAATTTTCTTCATTTAGTAAATACAAGCTTTCCTAAAAAAAAAGGCTTTTGCACGTGTTGTGATTTCCTGGCTACATGTGCCTCACACCAGAAATCACAGCAAAATTCCACATTGTTTGAGTATGGCTATGTCAGAAGATGCTTGTGGGAACCAGAGGCTAGCTGTGTATTTGTTAACAAAGGGGTTTTCCTTTTGAAAAAAGTGATCAGATTATTTGAATATGAGAAAATCTGCAACTTGACGTTTTCAGAGAATTCAGTCAGGCACAGCCTTGCTGATGCTTCTTCTGAGAGAGGGGAACTGTTAGAAAATGACAGTTAGCAGCAGAAAGTGCACAGTGGCAAGGCTACATTTCCAAGGGGGGCCATGCTTGCGTTGCTAGCACCCAAGAGGTAACATGGTACTAAGTTCTTCCACTTCCCTTTTTCAATTTTTGCAGCTCTTCTCTGAGAAACATCTTCCCACCTTCCTCTTTTGGCAGAGATAAGCCTGACTCGCTGAGGCAAGCATGTCCTGTCCTGAGCTCCGTCGGTTCCTTACACATCTGTGGCCGCTCCTGCTGATTCTGGGTGAGTAGCCGGGCTGATCTGGGCAGCGCTCTCAGTTCCTAAAGTGAGCCAGGGAAAAGCCAGATGTTGTCTCTTTATCCACCATGGGTGCAGGAACAGATAGCAAGCGATGGCAAGTGAGTGGAGCTGGGGTAACTAACCTACCTCAAGTCACCAAATGCAAGCATCAGAGTAAACTGACCCCTTGTCTTCTCATCCTTCTTCTTTCTTCTTATTTTTGTTGTTGTTTCTTTTTTGTTCTTCTCATCTCATTGGAAATTTGGACTGTTATTCTTGCCAAATTGTAACTACATCCTTTCTACCTAAAATTTCAAGCTAAATACTTTTTCAGATAAACACTGACTTTAAAAAGTTAGGTGATTTGTGTTTCACCTGGAAAATTTAGGTGGACCTCAAAAAATAAAACATAAAAAAGGTCTGGGATGTCATTCACTGTGAAGATCCTAGCTTCAATCGTAAGCTAGAGAGAGAGACAGGGAGGAAAGGAGGGAAAAGGAGGGAGGGAGGGAGGGAGAGAGACAGACAGAGATAGAGAGAGACAGAGAGATACAGAGAGAGACACAGAGAAACAGACACAGAGATAGAGGGAGACATAGAGAGACAGAGAAACAGAGAGACACAGAGAGACACAGAGAGACACAGAGAGACAGACAGGGAGATACACACACAAAGACAGAAAGAGATAGAGACATGAAAGAGACACACACAGAAACAAAGAAACAGAGAGAGTCAGAGAGTGACAGAGAGAGACACAAAGAGACAGAGACAGACAGAGACACACACACACACAGAAGCAGATAATGACAGAGAGAGAGGGAAGGGACACAGAAAGAGAAGAGAAGAGGAGAGGAGAGGAGAGGAGAGGTGAGAGAGAGAGGAGAGAGAGAGAGGAGAGAGAGAGAGAGAGAGAGAGAGAGAGAGAAAGAGAGAGAGAAAGAGAGGGAAAGAGAAAGAAAGAGAGAGATTCAAGTTTGCTCCCACTAAGCATGCAGTAGTGAAGAGGATGGTGGTCACAGGCACTACATGGTTATAATATAAACTATAGTCTCAATCTTGTCATTTAGGTGCTCTGGATGGTATAGAATGGGAACAAAAGAGTGGGGAGGAAGAAGTAAAGAAGATGCTATGGTTACTTTGTTTGAAAATTTCTCATAGAGTTTCTAATTGAAAGACCTGAGACACATTGCTCCATGCTAATTTTTGAATCTTGGCTCCTTCACAGCTCCTGGAAGAGAACAAGCAGGTAGGTTCCCTTTGTCTCTGTTCCTCCCAGGCTCTCCTTGGCCAGCCCAGCCTGTCTTGTCCCAACCTTGTCAAAGAGAGCAGCAGGGACTTGCCACCCTCCAGCGTGTTGCTTTTCTGGGCTAACACATGACTATTGGGCAAACAAAGCCTACTCTAACTTCCCCAGGTCCTAGCCCTCCCTGATTATCAAGCAAACTGGTGTAGAGAGGGAGAAAAGATCTGATCTTTGGTCCCTAAGACCTCTCCCTCTCTATGCTCTAGTGTCATTGCCAATGGAGATAAAAAATAGCGACTGTGCAGAGCAGAAAAGGTTGTCATAAAATTCTTATATGTGTTTCAACGGAGCTCAGGCCACTGTCACTCTTCAGCTTCTCAGGTCCACCAGTCAGTGGTAACTCCAAACACGAGTCTCATTTCCCTAGCTGCCCGTGCTTCATCTAAATTCTTTAGCCCCCTTAATTATTTATTGTGCCCAATGTGGATGGAGAGTGGAAGAAAGACTCCTCCCCATAGATTCTCCTACTAAAACAAAGTTCAAAAGTAATAAAAGTGAGAATAACCTTGTTCATCAAACGTTGGTAGCTAAGCAGGGAGTTATATTCTAGCATCTAGATACTGCATTGGTGGTACATCCCACGTTCACCTTTACCTCAGTGGGAATGAATAGAAGGATTGAGAACCAACCCATGTGCTGAAGCCCTCACAGTGTCCAATGACAACTCTCATTTTCTGAGATTTCCTGAGCTGCACCAAGAACACGAGTTTTATTGTATCCACTTGCTCGTGTCCAGGCTAAGCCAAGGAAAAGAAAGCATACTCTGTCCAGGCACCTTTTCATGTTCCTTCTGATCTCTTTCTTTCTTTCTTTCTTTCTTTCTTTCTTTCTTTCTTTCTTTCTTTCTTTCTTTCTTTTTCTTTTTTCTTTCTTTCTTTCTTTCTTTTTTTTTAGTTTAGAAGGAATTTTTTTGGCTGTCTCAGGATGCTTTAAGGGCAGGTCTGGTAAGGCATGGGGATCTGGGAATGGACCACAGTATCCTGAGTCAGTCTGCCTTTGCTTATGAAGGCACTTAACTGAGCTAATGGGCAGGCACCCCTTCTGCTCCATTTCTAATGCTGGTCCTGGCTGAGAATTTGCTCAGTAAGCTCCCAGATGCAGAGGAAGCCCCTCTCCACCCCCACCTTGGCCTGGCTGTTCCCACCCACTCCACTTCAGCGGCTTTTATCTTTCTGTCTCCCATTCAGATGTACCTCCAAAAGCTGTACTTCTGCTTGATCCTCCATGGTCCACAGTATTCAAAGGAACAAAGATGACTCTCCGATGCATGGGATTCCATTCCCGAACTACAGGAAAAATATCTTGGTTGCAGGGCAAGAGGTATTTGAATGAAGTATCTGAAAGCATCAGTATTAAATCATCTGGGAATTACCAATGCAAGACCCCTGAATCCTCTCTCAGTGACCCAGTGCACGTGGAATTTTCCTCTGGTGAGGAAAGGATGTGGGAAATCTCAATAGTTGAGCTACTGAGCAGTGTCTGAAGTCTGGGTTAATGTGGGGAACACAGGCAGAGTTGGGAAGATATACATGGGCAGTGTGTGATGTGCTGACTCCAGTGGGTAGGGCAGCAGCCCAACCCTGCCTTGCCCATCTCCTCCACCCAGAGAAGGGGCCACATCCCAGAGGCAACCAAACAAAAAGAGGTCCATGTCTGAAGAATGGTATGGGATAAACAATTCCTTTTTTTGTTTAAAGACATATGAGGATTTCTCAAGGACATTTTCTGGAAATTAGTTCTCTCTCATAAGGCAAGGTAGAATTTGGTATTGAGGATGTGAACACATTGGTGGAGGAGATTTTCCTCAGGTGTGTAAGGGCTGTAGTTCTTTTCTTGTGGTTAGAAATGAGATGGAAAGAAGAAACAACGGGCATGAATTGAGTGCCTTCTCCACTCTTTGCAGGCGTACTGATCCTTCAGGCTTCACACCCCATCTATGAAGGAGATAATGTGACCCTGAGATGCCAAGGGAAGAAAGAAGAGTACACAAAGGAGAAGACATACTACAAAAATGGAGAACAACTTCATGATACTTATAATTTAGATAGCATCACTATAGATTCAGTTTCCATGTTCCCTGGCACATATCATTGTACTGCTTCTGTAAAATTTTGGTCATTTGATAAGACAAGAACTTCAAACTCTTTAAAGATTCAAGTTCAAGGTAATGGAAAGATTCCTGTGGGATATTAGTTTGGGCAACTAATTGTGGGAATTGATAGTGAGTGCTTTTCAGAGGGGATTTCATGAGAAGTCTTTTATGGGCCAGCCATAGGCAGAGCCTACCTGGATGATCCTCTATTTCCTGCTGGTTGGTGCTGAGAGCACAGGTGCATCTCGACATGAGCTCTGTGTCTCACTGTCCTAAGGATTATTTGTTCTCTCTAGAACTATTTCCACGTCCTGTGCTGATTGCTAGCTCCTCCCGGCCCATAGAGGATGGCCCAGTGACTCTGACCTGTAAGACCCAGCTCGTCCTGCAGAAACCAGATATCCAGCTCCAGTTCTGCTTCTTCAGAGGTGACCAGACCCTGAGGCTGGGCTGTAGCAGCTTCCCAGAGCTCCAGATACCTTCTATGAAGACTGAAGATTCAGGGTCCTACTGGTGCCAGGCAGAGACTCCCAGGATCAAAAAATGGAGCCTGAGATCCCAAATATATGTCCAGAGTAAGTGTTCAAAGGTCTGCTCTTCCAAAGTTGAGGTTGGGGAAAGGGGGGCAGAACACAAACCAGGATGGTGGGACATAGATAGGATCTGCTTATTGTTGGCTTAACTAATCTAACCTACTCTCTCCCATCTATGTTAGGCAACAGTCATTAGTGACCACTTAAAGGGGCTCAACTTTATAAGAGTTACAAAGATGTACAGGATAAGTTGCTACATGAGTCAACAGTCAGACGCTCCAGTGGCAACACATGGTCACTAGGGACCCCTATGCTTGACCTCATCTCATAGCAAAATAATCCAAAGAGAAGATGAATATGACTTAGAAGAATATGAGAATATGGGGTGAGGTTTGAATTCTGAGGAAAGTCACTGCAGGCTCAAGGTAACTGTAGTCTGTTATTCTGTGGTCCTCTATGCATCACAGGTTCATGAATGTTCATAAAATATGCCTCTTGGCAACATTGGCTTTATACAGATCCTGGGCGTGGTGCTTACAGTGCCCAGAACGGGAATTGTGAGAGTGAGGAGGATTACCATTCCTTTTACAAATTATGCACAATTCACTCCTTATTTCCCTACTTTGGGCCTCTGCCTATTGCAACCGCACCAGGCTTTCCTTTGACACCAAAGTCCCTTCTAATAGGACCTTTACATTTTATCTTTCCAGGGGTCCCTGTGTCTAATGTGACTCTGAGGATCCAGCCTCCAGAGGGGCAGCTGATTGAAGGACACAACCTGCTTCTCACCTGCTCAGTAACAGAGGGCACAGGGCTTATTACCTTCTCATGGCACAGAGATGGAACAGGCATTCTGGGCAGAAAGACCCAGCGTTTCCAGCTGGCAAAGCTGCAGGTGTCCAAAGTGACGGAACACCATGCAGGGAGATATTACTGTTCAGCTGACAATAATAATGGTCCCATTCTCAGCAAGAGGACTCAAGTCACTGTGAAAAGTAAGTGTCTTCTTCCTTTTACTCAGTCTTGATCTGCTAGGCAAGGTTTGAGATCTTCATCAGCCATGAGGCTCTTTTAGGAGAAGAAGGATCAGAGATGTGAAAGCTATCTAAGCAATCACAAAGATGACAAAATAAGTTGGAAACACTTTTGCTACTGGGGGAGAGGGATGAATGGTAATGGAAAAATAAAAAATAATTGCCCTCCATTTTTTCTCAGGAATTAGAAATGTTTCTTCTGATTCTTAGGGGAGAAATGTGCAGTCAGTGAGAAGCAGAAACATTCAGAGGCTGCATTTACTTTATAAGGCCATGCAGTGGGGTTATGAATATTTTGAGTCCTCGGAGACTCTTCTCTGAAAGCCCTTTCACGTTCTCCAGTTCCAGTTTCTAGCCCAGTCCTCACCATTAGGGCTCCCAGGGCCCCAGCTGTGGAGGGGGATGTGGTGGAGCTGCACTGCCAGGCCCTGAGAGGCTCCCTCCCCATCTTGTACCTGTTTTATCATGAGGACATGACCTTGGGGAACAGCTCAGCTCCCTCTGGAGGAGGAGCATTTTTCAACCTTTCCTTGACTGAGGAACATTCTGGAAAATATTCATGTAAGGCTGACAATGGCCTGGGGTCCCAGAGCAGCCCCAAAGTGATCCTGAATGTCACAGGTAAGCCCGCTGTGCATCAGACTGTGTCTTACACTCCCAGAGTCCACTGGGTTTTTGGTGCAGCAATAACCAGCAGACTTTTTCCATGCTCTGCCTCTACATTGGAGTACTGGGGTTCTTCCTTGCGACTTCATATTTAGTAAGTTACAACATCTTTTTACTTATCACTGTCTTCAACAACCATATATGCTCCTCCAAGTCTTTTGAAAGGAAGCCTAAAGGCTTTCCAAAATACCAGACATATGTTTATTCAGCCATTACTGACAAAGAAACATGCAACAGAAATCCTTATTTCTGAACTCCTTTGCCCAGGAACTATTACTAGACCCTTCCTTGCCATGGTTTTCTACCCCTTCTTCTGTCCAGTATTAATCTTTATATGGTTCCCTGGTCTTTAGACAAAGAATTTTTAAAAGTGTGTACTATGTATTACAGAATCAATAAGCACTGAGCACCAAAAACAAAACAAAGCAAAATTACCAAGATCAAATATTAGTCTTGCTTTGTAAAATTGTATTTGTTTGCATCAGTACATGTCTTTAACATGTAAAGATTAATTTGCCAATTTGTGGGGAGTTGGTACATGGATATAATACAGGTTACTGGTTTTAACTTCTCCTTCCACTCCTATCCACTTGCCTTCTGTTTACCTTCCTATTTGCAAGCCATCTCTATCCTATTATTTTTTTTTATTTTGTTCTTTAAACTGTCTGTACTTTGGACTTCTTACTTAAGAGAAACCATGTGAAATTTAACCTTGTGTGTTTGATTGATTTCACTTACCATATGATCTCAAGGTGATTCCACTTTTCTTTTTTTAATTTTTTATTAATATTGAGAAACTAATAACAATGAGACAGTTTCAAAACCAATTAGGAGGACAGTTTCAATAATTAATGCATTGCATATTGTTGTCTTCATAGTGGTTATTCATAGTACAAGATATAGACACGATATCCTGTCCGAACACTATTAGAACAAATCTTTCTATTTAATTAAGAGAAAGTAGCTGTATATCTAGCCTAACTATTTTGAATATACAGATACAAAATTGTCCTTCATTTGTATCCCCTTTTTTTGTTCAGTTTTCTCAGAGATGGCCATTTAGTATTGCCATTTAAATATTGTAGGTGCATGAATTGAGCAAAATAATCTAATATAGTCCAGTAGTTCATAATAGTAGTGGATTATCCATAGAACCAGCAAGGTCAGAAGTTGTTGACTTGAGGCTTTTATAGCTCAGCATATTAATATGGCTTTATTTTTTATATATTAATTTTATTGAGAAAGAAGTAGCAAAGAGACAGTCACAAAGCAGGTTAATAGGACAGTTACAATAATTAATATATTGCATATTGTTGTCTTTGTAGTAGTTATTCATAGTACAAGATGCAGACATGATATCTTGTCTAAGCAATATTAGTTCAAGTACAAACCTTCCTTCTCATTGAACTAAGAGAACCTAGTTGTATATCTATCCTAATATATATATATATATATATATTTTTTTTTTTTTTTTTCACTACAAAATGGTCCTTCATTCATATCCTCCTTTTTGGTTTACTTTTTTCATCGATGTGTATTTCATTGCCATTCATATATTGTAGGTGCGTGAATTCAGCAAAGTAATCCAATATAGTTCAGTAGTCCATAACAGTGGTGGGTTATCCGTGGGGCTGGCAATGTCAGAAGTTGTTGACTTGGGCCTTTTATACCTCAGCATATTAATAGGGCTTTACTTTTTATACCTCATTTTTATACTTTTCTTCTGGTTGGTTAAAACCAAGATAAAGCAAGACATACATAACAACAACAACAACAAAAAATGTAACTTTTGTATCTGACAAGGTCAGTCAAATCCCCTCAGGATTTATCCTGAAACCCTGTACAGCAGTTTGTAGATTGTTTGTCAGTGTCAGCCATGTGGATGAGTCACGGTCATTGCTTGACCTATTTGCTGTCTGTGAAAGCCTATTTCAAGGTGTTCTTGACATAAGGGTCTGTGTCATGAAGTCTGCTGTGACTTTGAGGATCTTTTTTTGTTTTTCCTAATTACTTTTATTTTTTAAAAGTTAATTTAATTTTTTATTTTTATATTTTAGTTTTTTGAAATTGTCCAATACTTCTTGTAAAGAACAAAATCATTAAGGCATATACATAAAAATATTAGCTATGGAAGAACAAAATTAAATAGCATCTTATTCCATATTAGAAAGAAAAAAAAAGGACCAAGTATGTAAGAAACAAGATTAATTAAAGGACTGAAAGAAAAGATCTGTCCTCTTTGAATTTTATACTTAGCAAACATATCTTTAAAAACTAAAAGCAAGATTTTCTAGTTATACAACTTGAAATACTTTAATACCTCCAGAAGTAGCGTATAGGAAACAACAAAGAGCATAATTCAAAAGATAAAAGAAGCTGCAGTATGCTCCTGGATGAACAATAAAGAGCTCTCAATATGATAGTTATTCAGGACTATATAAAAATATATTAGATAAACCCTTATTTAAAGGTTATTGCAGATTTGTATGAAACAGTACCAATCTTATGTTGGGTTATACACGTATTTTTTCATAATTTTATTGATAAACAGCAATGAGACAGTTTCAAATCAAATCACTAGGACAGTTTCAATAACTAACACACTGCATACATTCTTCTTAGTGGTTAATTGCTGTCCAAGATGTGGACTTGAGATCCTATTTACAAACACCATTAGAACAAATCATTCTATTCATTAAGAGAATATAACTATATATCAATCCCATCCACTTTGAATACACAGATACAAAATGGACATTAATCTGTATACCCCTTTTTTCTAAGTTCTGTTATTTGAAAATTATAAGTGTGTAAACTCAGTAAAATATTCTAAAAGAGTCCAGTAGCCCATAATAGCAATGGGTCTTCTGTTTAACTGGCAATGTCAGAAATTATTGACCTGAGTTCCCCACAGCTCAGCATAACATCATGACTTTACTTCCTATATTTCATCTTCATACTTTTCTACTGGTTGGTTAAGACCAAGGTAAAGCAGGACCTATGCAACAAGAGTGGTAGCTTTTGGGTCTGAGAAGGTCAGTGAAATGCCCTCAGGATTTATCCTGAGATCCTGTACCTCAGATTGTAGAACCTTTGTCAGTGTCAGCCATGTGGATGAGTCATGGCCATTGCTTGGCCAATGTGGTCTCTGTGAAAGCCTGAGAGAGTGTTTTCTCTCCATGTGACTCTCCTTAGGCACACTCTACATCATCAATCACTTTCCTCTTTGGCCCCATAATCTCCTTGATCAGAAAATTTGGTACACTACCGAGGTACATGACGTTAAGTACAAGTTCTCATATGTCCTGAGTCTTAATTGACCTTAGAAGGCATAATTTGTAGATCCTTTGTCAGTGTCAGCCATGTGGATGAGTCACGGTCATTGCTTGGCCAATGTGCTCTCTGTGAAAGCCTGAGAGAATGTTTTCTCTCCATGTGACTCTCCTTAGACACACTCTGCATCATCGATCACTTTCCTCTGTGGCCCCATAGTCTCCTTTGATCCCACTTTTCTACAAACAACACATTTTAGTCTTTATGTATGAGGGCCACATTTTGTTTATCCCTTCATCTGTTGATGGATGTATTGGCCACTTCCAAGATTCAGTTACCAAAATTAGTTTTGCTATACATACAAGTAAGAGGATATCACTGTAATAGGATGCCTAACTCTTTTGGGAAAATGTCTAGAAATGCATAGCTGGGTCAAGTGGAATTTCTACTTTGAATCTCTTGAGAAATCTCCATAATGATTTCCATAGCAGTTGCCGTAGTGTATATTAAGATTAACAGTGTAGGAGTGGTCATCTTTCCCTAAAGCCTTAACAGCATTTGTATTATGTGATTTGTCAGTGACAGTCATTCTTTCTGTAGTAAAATGGAATCTCAGCGTTGTTTTAATTTGCATTTCCCTGGTGAAGTTTATTATTATTTGCAATTTGTATTTCTTCCTCTTAGAAGTTTCTTTTCATTTCACTGGTCTGTTTTGATTGGGTCTTTTACTTTGGGGGATCTAATTCTTTTGATATTCTAGATATTAGTCCTCTGTCTGAGCAATAGCTAGAAAAATTTTTCCCATCATGTAGTTTTGTCTCTTCACTCTGTTGAATATTTCCTTTGCTATGGAGAAGATTTTTTGTTCTGTTTTTCTGTCTTACCATGAAATATCCTCTGCCACATGATGCTTGAAGGGTCCCACACGATGTCAAGCAGAAGATAATGACATGCTCTTAGACATCTCATAAATGACTTAATCT